AATCAGAAAACGGATATTCAGCTTTCGTTACTCGACAACGTTTCGTGTAATGCGACAATTCGCATTGGATTTGTTTTCTCTCTAACGTATTCCGTACGATGCAACGACGATGTATTTACATATATACGTGGTAATGTTTGGGATGGACGCAGCTTTTTCCCATGGAACCGCAACGGAATCGCAAACGTTGAAAGAAGTGGAGCGGTTCTCGTTAGATATTCCCTCGTTTTAGCAAATGCAGCTGTTTCTTTTCGAAGATCGTTAAACATCTAAACGGCCACACTCTACGTGTAATCAAGTGCCACGGGAATCGTTTTAACGTTCCATCTAAAGCAACCACAATCTTATCTCAAATGCAAATACACGAATCTTCTGACCAACCAACTTCTGGAACTATCACTAAGAATCGAAAGCAATGAAAATATCTATCTTGATTATGACGTCCGAAAAATTGTATACTAATTAATTGTGATGCCTATACTTTTTCATATGTACCGTGATTATTCTTAACTGCTGATCCATAGATAGCTTGACTTTCTGTATCACACGCATATTTCTATTAGCCAGATGGTTAATAGCAGTTAATTGTTATTCTCAAAAAGATTTAAATTCCTACAGTTGACAAATTATTCACGACACGATAACATATTTTTCTCTGATAAGAAGATAAAAGGTTCAAATATCTTGAACCAGAGTAACGCAACATGGATATGAATCTTCGATTTAGTAGAACACGATAAAAAAACAAATCTGGGAATTACAGAAATATCGAAGATTTACAGTTATCGATGAAACGCGTTCGCATCGGGATAGCTTCTCCATTCGATGGAGGTTGACTAGTATTACGACCCTGTTGCTCTCAGTGCTATTTACTTCCACGATGAGAACCCTTTATCCGGTTTCCAATAGAGTCAACAAGGTACGATTATACGAACGATTAATTGCGCTGCTCGCCTTACAGGCATCTGTCTTTGTCATTGGACACTGCATGCGAGATAATGAAAAGGCATTCGCAGGAACACCCTAATAAGATTCAATAAGGTTCATCTAGCTAACAGCGTTACGGTCGCATTACAGGATTAAAAATTTCGTTAGAACGGACAATTTGCCGAAGTACTACGTATATCTCGTTGTAAACGTTCTATATCTTCTTCTCAAAGAAACTGAATGATCGCGAGGAGTAATACGAAGAAATTACGCGACGCAGAAGCAGCACAACGATAAACACGCACTCGCGGCATAACGAAACTTGGTAATCTTGTTATACCTACGTTACGCTACGGTCTCTTTACCCTCAACGTACTTCCGGTAAAAGTATTCACGAACACGTCCCTTGTGCCCGCGACTCGGCACGTGCTTCAGTCGTTTTTTCCGTCTCCACAACAGTCGCCGAGCTAGCTCGGTCTTTCTTCTCGTCGGAATTTCGCCTAGCGACCCGGTTTCACCTCGCGGTTTGCCGCGCTAATTTTTCACAAAAATAATGCTACCTCGGCCCTCGATGAATTTCCACGCAGTGAACTCGATTCGATGAACTCGATTCGATGAGCTCGCGACGGAAATAAATATCGCTCAGATCCAAGGTGGTGGAGCACAATTACGTAATTCGAACACAGGGCTGTTCAGCTTAACGGGCTAAATTTCTCGAACGAATCGAGAACCTGGTAATAAGTTATCGTGCAGCAGAAACAGTACGCGACAACACGTTGTAAGATAATGCGATTTGGTCGCCGGCTGAGAGCTACCTTGGTCGCGCGAGCATGTAGCTACATTCTAACGAGCCACAGGCGTAGCGTGCAGGTTTACACACGGACGTGAATACACTACGGCCATATGCACAGGACCGTGATAAACGAGCCAAACGATATTTCCTACGCAACTGTGCTCTCCGCTCTACGAGTGTAACGCTATCGTAATAATGGTCGATCGTGTTTTAACCGAATGTAGGATCGCATATGCTGCCAGTTGTGCCAGTTGATCCTAGCAAACCAAACACCGAATCGTGCATTCCCCGTTAAATGTCCTCCGATCGAGAAACTTCATTTGCAAACGTCGAACCGCGTTGCACAGATGCCACTGTTACAGCTAATGCAATATTAATGACGGCACCGAGATTCCACGTCAAAGGGGTAACCTTTCTTGTGCGCGTTCCGTTTTAACGAGCACGAGTGTGACTCCGTCGTTAACATTGTCGCAAAAGCGAAGATAATTATGCCAAACTATGTATCGTTCTGAGCATTCTCACGTGTCTCTTGTCGTACAGCAAACGCCGAAGTCTGAAACAATTTCCCGACATATAGGTTATGAAATAAATCGCGTAACGCAGTATTGAATACCGAGACAAAATAAACCGTTCGTCTTCTGTCATCTGTTCGTGGTATCGCGATGATGTGCTCGATTCGTTAACTCTCACTCCTTATCTGATTTTATTAGTTTCTACCTGGAAAGATGTTCGATTATTTCGAAGAATTAATTATTATCGTATATCATTTTCGATATTACATTCCCATTTCGATAGTGTTATCAAATATATTACTTCCGTATACGCTCTCGTTGCCTTAAATCGACAATCCGTGAAATTTATCATTCGTTGTATAATCCTCGGATTGTATTTTATCGATAGGAATTACGACAATCACGAAATTCCTTTATTCCACTATCGCACGGCCACCGCCCTTGGTGATGTTTATTCCACTCTGCTGGCTAGCAGACGCCACACGATGGCAGACCCCCCTCTAGGAGATCGCTTGTACCTCATTTCGGGTAACAAGCCAGACGTTCGCTTTTTCGCTTCTTTTGCAATACGCGACACGGTCATTCACGGCCATTCGGCGAGTTAACGTCCGATGAGATCCGGGAAATAATGGAAAATAGTGGGAATGATGCTGTTGCTTTTTGACTTATACGTTGCATCCATGTACCAGATTGCACGAAATGGATTATATAACAGGTGGGATTTACGAATGCCGATTGCAACGATTGAATTCTTGATCAGCGATCAATCAAAACGCATATTTCTTTTGGCAGCAGTTGCATGGACATGTGGCCAACGTCGATACCTCGCGCCGGAATTATGACTCTTTCGAATGTCGAGTTTCGCAGTGACGTTGTTCAGGAGAAAGAAATAGCACGACTAAGAGAAACTCATTTTTTTCTGAAAATTACGTTGTAAAACATGAGACAAGTGGTTAAAAAATTAATGAATTTTTACTTCCACGAACTTCTAACTCATTTATATGCAAATTTCTGGACATTTTTTGGCTAATCATTTACAATTCAAGCATGGTAACAGTATTAGAAATGCGAGGTTAATTGAAATTTGCTGTAGCTGCGGTAACGCGTATTCGCAGGCCAACCACGCGCAATGTTTAAATCTGTCCTCATCCGTTGATTATTCGGATTAGTTTCTAACTTCCATATGTTATATACTAACCCAATCTTTCATGCACCGCAGAAATCAAACTCACTCTAATCTTTTTACGAATATTAAATTGATAATATTTGCAATAATATTATACTATATCTCCTCATTACTTATGGAGGCGCCGGTGCAAAATTGGCAGCCAACAGCCTCGCGTTTACAAAAATTACGTACTAGGTATGTCTTGATTGGCCATACCCCGTCATGAGCACGGCATTTTAATACCGTGCCGACGCGCTATAAAAGTAGCGAGTGCCCTTTTTTTCTAGTGACAACAGCTCGCATAGGCCTTATGTTAAGCTTCGAGCGACACACTAAAAGCGAGAATCAGTACAACCATCAGGCCATCTGTTGTACTATCGGCGAACTAAAAATACCAATGTCCGCCTGTTACTGAAAAGACGCGATCGAAGAATAGAAACACGCAACGTGGATACAAATTGTGAATAAAAGTTACACATCAGCCGAACAACAAGAAACACGGTTATTTCGAACACGATATTGTCCATTGTGTATGAAAAGCAACCTCTAGTCACGCTCCATAAGACATTAATTGCAAAATTTCAATAACGACGTCGTCGATAATTTGATTTACGATCAAGCTTCCAATCATATCGTCGAGTCGAGAAAATTTCGAAGCGAATGCGATATCGGCTTTCCACCGGGGCGATATCGTTCGTTATTAGCTACGTTAAGGGATATTGTAATCGAGTTAATTAAAACTTGAATAAAGATATTTGTGTCCGTGGGGCGTGTTCTATTATTCGAAACTAGCTCGAAGTCGACGACGAACCAAAACGACCGTGCCGCGCGAACGATTCAATGATTAAAAAGGAAGCTCTAATCTTCGTTGAAAATTAAAGCGCCCGGCTTTGTCTTAACGCTGCGATTTTCGTGTGCCAACCAGTCGCCCTGTGTATTCGGGCACGCATAAAGAAAACATAGACGAAACAGGTTAGAATACGAAATTACGAATAACACGGTCAACTCGTGAATTTATTATCGTTTTGCTTTCACGTGGTTCAGCGGTGGATACTTTTATTCTATATGGCTCAAATTTTAGCAGAGAAGAAAACGAAAACGAGGCAATGAACATTTTCTAAGATTTACTCGACGGATAAATCCGAAAAATACCGGATGCTGTGAATCGTTGAATAGGAGGAGGAAAAGACCGAATCGCGCCGAAAGTGCATCCAATCGTGCAATTAAGATGGCTGCACACTGCACATTACTGCTTCGCCAACGTTAATCCCTCGTTGGCCCGAATTCGTGCGGAAGCTTTCTGATAAAGCTTCAGCACACCCGAAATAAATATCCAAGGAAAATTCAGTCGTTGATGAGAATTTAAATGCAGCAGGTAACGAACGATAACGTGGGTGGATTGTTTGTCCGTGTATTGGACGAACGTGAGCAAGACTCGTGATCCCTTGGGCACGTTCGGGAAAAAGAATATCGAGCTACGTGTGCGTAAAGTTTTAGGGTACATCATGTTCGACATTCACTGCCGACATTCACTTCTCTTTTTTTCATTTTAGGTCGCGTGAGTGGCGAATATCAATCAAAAGAAGAGCCAATGTCTTACCTGGAGATATGGCACAGCTTTGCACAGAGTCAAACCTAGGAACCAGGTTTCCGTGATGTCCCAAAGCACGGTGAAGGGAAGACAAAGTAACAGAACTAGGAAGTCAGCTACGGCTAAATTGACGATAAAATAATTCGTCACTGTTCTCATCGATTGATTCCTGTAAACCGCGATGCAGACCAGGGCATTCCCGATTAGTCCGACCACGAAAACGATGCTGTGCGACGCGATCAGTACCCAGTCCCAAAACTTGGGAAATATATAATTCATCATACGGTCCACGTACTCCTCGTTCGAAACGCAGTAAATATTGGTGCAATTTGTAGCGTTGTAGTCGGCCTCCGTTTCATCTGTGTAGTCCATCGACGCGTAGTCGTCTAAGTAATCGGTGGCGTTGACCAACGTGGATACCACCAATGCTAGCCACCCCAAGACCATTGCCTCGAGGGAATGCATGTTTTTTCTCTGCTATCAGGAATTCGTAGCACGGTTATCGAAATAAAGGAGAAGATCTCCTAAGAAGGTACAGCATACAACTTTTTCATGGACCTTTGCTACTGCTTTTCGCCTCCATTTCGTACCTTCTTGACGTTTTTGCAAGACGTTTCGCGTTCAAGATATAAAAAAAAGGGAGAAATAAACAGAGGGAAAGTTGTCGCTTCGGGTCGATCCACTTCGTTTTCTTTGCGGTGGGCGAGTGACGTTTACTTCCCTCCAATTTCCATGACATTAAAGGTAATTCTCTTCGTCCTTTTTCTTTCCCTTCTCCATCGGCGTCATTCGATAACACAAGTGTCTGGAGTTCATTGATGCTGCACGTTCTATTCGATGGCCATCGTAGATCGGTCAAGTAAAGGGGTCTTTGTCGAAGAAGATTACCGAAGGGAACGTGCTTTCTTTTGTCTTCCCACTCCACCAAAAAGTTGACTTTAATGCACCGAAAACCACGGTTGAAGAAGAAAGTTTTGGGCGTCACGTGTCGTGATTTCCCAAGTGTCAGCTTGCTTAACGAACTTTTGACAAACGGTCGGAGAGATAGAAAATGATCGCAATTTCACTCTGGTCCAATTTTTCTTCCCCTATTTCGTCTCTTTTCTTCTACGTGATCTTCCTCGACCCGTCCTAGGCTGGATGATAAATCTGTTATCGAACCTATATTACGAAAAGTTTCTATTTCTTGCTTCGTTTTTTCTCGAAAGCGAAAATCGTCGTGAACGAGAAATGGAAAACCGAAAGCCAACTCGGTAGGGTACGTTTTACCTCGTTTCACCGGAAGTTTTGTCCCACGCTTTCCCCCTTTTTTTCTTCCACAGATTTTACCTCTAACATCTGACCTAACCCCGGAGAAAAAGTTCGGGAGCAAATTTAATTACGCGACCGCGATGAAATTGTCGGTGAAGTGGTAAAAGGAATTTTATCGTGAAAATTAATAATAGAAGCCATAACGTGGTCGTTTTGTTTATATCCGACTATTATATTATATTCGTTATAGCGACTTCGTGTAGCCTTTCGAACGTTTCCTTCGCGATCTCATCAAACGTGGTATCTTCGATTTCCGCTGGCCTCGTTCAATTTTCGAAACATCAACTTCGGCAAATCTATGTTCATCCGGTGTCTCGCGCGGTTGCACGGGAAAAGGATTTTCTGGACCGCGTTCGTTCACGAGAAAAACGAACACCGCAGCTAAGTTTAATAAAGCATTGTCCGGGATTTACAATTTAATTGAAATTTTAATTGTTGCGGGATAGAAGTTACTGCGATATTACGACGTAATGGCAGAGTTTATAACAACTATAGTCGCAAATGCAATTGCACAGCGTGTATTAATCGATTGTATCGTTATACCCTTCGAGAAATCATCACCCTTCGTTAATAAATTCCACCCTAAACAGCTTCAACGGACATCACTCCCACGTTTTCGGCTCGAATTCAATGGTATTCCATCCCTTCCCGCGAGCATCTTTGGATAACAGCCCTCGAGGCAAACGACGTTTAACGGGGAAAAAACCACTCGATTATCCTATTAATCTTTCGCGTTTTTCCAAGGTGTCTGCGCTGACAGTGACAACCGGCATGCCAATTAATCAGCAAAGTGTCAGAACCGTTCTTGCATCCACATCGCATGGACAATTTCGCGTTGTCGCCGTGGCGCCAGTGGGGTGAAAATCACGCGAATCGTCCACGATCGGATTGAATCAACTAGTCAGCCCCGTTCTCCTTCGATTTCCACCCCCACGGTGCGCGACATTATTACGTTCGTTCATCGCGACACATTACGATTCGAACATTATGTGGCCTATATGGAGCCCCGTGGGAAGATGATGGATATTCGAAATATTTTTAACCTGGCATCCGACACGACGTACCCGATTTCCGATTCGTTCCAGTGCGCTCGCCTGGAACGGAAATATCGTAAATCTGTCAGGTTCGCGACAGCCACCGCGACAACTGCCGAAGAAACATTAGATTCAATCCATCCGAAGGAAACTTTGATGCGTTTCTGTGTTGCTTATGGTGCAACGAGGTGCGAAGCAAAATTTCCGAGCAAAGTTGCCCGACTTCGTCTCAGAAACTGTTTAAATTTGAAAACGCTTTCTGCCGTCCCTGACAGGGGATGTTAACGGATCTGTTACGAAGAGATCGGTTCGCCACTAGTATCGCGTGCAGAACTGCCATTGAAAGCCTAAAGTGAATGAAGTCCGAGACGAAGGGTCGCTGAATTTTTCTCTTACATGGGATTAACTATTTATTACACGACGCTCGTCAAAATTCGCGAGAAATTCTCGAATAATATCTAAGCAATCTCGTTACAACTTATGCACCGTTTCTCCGCATGTTTACCACTCGCTTCAGGGTTCCATTCGATTCACGATCACTCCTTGCTTCTGCTTGCCACCCAAAACTATACTCGTCACTTTACCCGCGACATTGTGTCAGAATCGTAGCACGATCTTTCGCGCACCAGGTTTGTTTATCGGAAAATCGATGCTCGCGCGGGGAAATGCGTATTTATCGTTATATCGTGGCAAATGCAAATCGCCGGTGACGAGCGTTCTGCATATTCAAATGACCAATTTTCGTAACTATTCCACAACCGTTTAGAAATCCCGTATCGCCTGGTTATTAAATCGCTGTGAAACTTTGCGGAAGAATTTGTTACAGGGTTCGACCATCGAGCATGCTCCGGGAGGAAGCTCGATGTCCCGCGGCTGTGTTGCGACGACTAGCCAGGAGGAAGGGTCCTAGTTCGGGAAAGGGATGTGAACGCGACGACGGACTCTGCGAAACTGAGGTATGTACGTCGTTTTAACGAGCGCGTAGGTGCAGCAGTACTAGCCGAAGTCGGGACCGAGGGAAGATTCGTCTGGAAGATTTTCGATACCGCACCTGACGAGCAGCAAGTTTTGCTATTTCGTTGAACCACTTTGTAACTCGCAGTTACAGCGGAATAATTAACCCTTTGCACTCGACGACTTCTTCGTTACAGAAGAATAGCAATTCGAAGACTTTCTGTCATAGAGTCGACGATATTTTCAAAATGGTAAATGAGGAATCATATGCAAATTAAGAGGTAGAATTATTTTTCGTCGACATTCCACACGTCGTTAGGTAATTTTCAATTTGGTATATTAATTAACCTCCATCTTTAGAATCTGATTAAATGGTGACTGAGAGTCACCTCTCGGGTGCAAAGGGTTAAGAAAGGTAAGAGATGTAGCTCGTCGCGCGCAAACCCTTATCGTTACTCGTACTTGCTTAACACTAGATTTACGGAGCCCGTGAATTTGACGGAAGGGTTGCTGCAATTATACGATGGTAACAGATTTAGTTAACTTATATTAAGACTGTTAATATAATATATAATTGTTTTTAAATTAAACTAATCGTTAAAAAAAAAAGGCACGTGGTTTCCTTTACCTGTCAATTTGACAGGTGTCCTTAGAATTAGGTATACAGATAGCATCCGTAAAGCTAGTGTTAAGTAGATAGCGTTTGTAAGCGTACTCCCCTTTGATTAAACGAATAACATAGTTGTTCATCGCGTCTTGTTCTCCAGGTATTTCCACCCTTTTTCATCCCCTCTGCGAACACGTTAGACGTGTGTGTATTTTTGTCGATAAATTCTGCAAGCTGGAATTGAATTTCAATTACAGCTTTACGAGCACAGACGAGTTTACGAGACGATTGGAAATGGAAACGACCCTCAAAGGGAAAGATTCAACAGAGTTTCAACAGTTCATGCGGAAGCATAAGTCGTATGACACAAAAGCCAATAAAACCGAGATCGGGTATTTTTATTAAATCGTTAAATTACATTCGCGATAGATCGAAGATGGAGAGAGAGGATTAACGAGATATCCTGTACGGGATTTTACGTGTGTGTCGATCGATAAAAATTCTGAGCTCGCGCTCTGATAACTGACGTAACTGTTCTTATCGCTGTCTTACCGTCGATATCCCTCGAAATCCGTTGAAAATAAAAGATAGCCGGAAGAGTATTAAATTCCAGTAGAGAATTCCTTCCACTGACCGCGCGGATTAGGGTCTGCGTTTCCGCATCGGCGCTGGAAATTCAGGGGTGCCGAGATTCCGCCTGTGTACACGCTTTTGCTCGCTTGTTTGATCGCCTGCTCATTTATCATTTCTCCGTCCGATAAACCTTTTAAACTCTACCACTTCCTATCTCGCTGTCACGTTTATCTTCTCGCTGATTACTCGCAAGAAAGTTGCAAAGTATTTTGCTATGCGAATTTATCGGTATTATTCGGGATTGTTTTCAATTTTTATCTCTTATCGATTTTACAGATTTCTTCTTTTCGGTGACTTTATAACGGGCTCGAAAATTTCGAGTTTAAACAATTTTCAAATTTTATTTCGCCTTTTCAGTATTTAGTTTTACAGATTATTTCCCGTAAGTCGTTAACGAACACGAATCTGGTCGTTTAGCACCAAAGTGAACAATGGTTCTCACCTTACCTCGGCTGTTTGTTTTGCGATATTTCCTTGAATTTTAAAGCAAACGCGAAATGCTAAGGAATTCCTAGTTTTAACGAAATGCGTTCAGCGAATGCTTATTTTCTATGAAGGAGTATCGGTCGAACGATCTTATTTCCTTGGAAATAACGCCTCATTGTCGTTACGATTATACGTCCGAGGACGAAGTAAATACGAACGATCGATCGTCTCTTTTCTGCACCAGAGAGGTGACTATGACGTTTAGATCGCACATGACGTATAGAAAAATTGTGTGCGTTGTGATTAATGGGATAAAGGTAAACTGTCGTTGTTGAACTTGCGCCAGCTTTGCATAAACGTGTGACAAATTGTGAGTTTATGCATAAAAAATTGAAACTATTTTCAAGTTTATCGATGTGTTTTTCTTTCGAAACAATAATACATCGTTCGGTAGTAAAGAAAAAGAGATCCGGCAACGAGAAAAGAACATCCTCGGAAGAAGAATATTTTTATTTTTACACGCAACTAACGAAATCGATAAAACGTTCCGCTTTTTCAGATTCGGGAGTAACAGATCAAAATATGTTTTGCTTTAATTGGAACGTTTAGACGAACAAAGGATAATTCTGATAATTTAGGCATTACATAATACTGTTGTAAGTAATAAATATAAAAATAGGTCAGAGTACAATTAGAGTGGATCTTTTTAAAGGACTGTAAAATTCTTTTTACGAGAACCTTGAGGAACAGTAAATTTACGAGGTTTTAACTTCTGCTTTTGGCCCAAACCATCCTCATGTTTGGTTATTATCGTAGCGGACCATTTTACAAGACAATTCCATCATCATCTCTGGTAAATTTAATTTTTTATAGCTTTTTTTTGTTTTTTTTTTTTTTTAGAAGTTTAGTATCGTAATACAGAAAGAATATACCTTTTCGCTAAAAAAAGCTAAATAGTAGCAACATTTAGAAATTACATAGATCTTTACAAAAGACGAGTCAAATGGATAATAGGATAGTGTGATATGTAGAAAACATAATTAACTATCAACGATATGTCGTATAAAATTAAGTACCTTTATTTTCTAATAATTCTTATTGTACTTACAACAAAAGGAGTTTATCACAGCTGTAACAGTATTGTAACTGTTATAACTTCAACTACATGATGAACATCAACATGAATTGAATTTCACAAATACAAAACTAATACTCATTACTCTTTTATATACATATACATATAAAAGAATAATATATATATAAGTTTTATATATATATATATATATATGTATAATACACATACATACATACATACATACATACATACATACATACATATATATATGCTTCTATATAATTATATATAAACATATATACAATATGCTTTAAATCACTAAAAAAATACTATGTAAAGATTGAGAATAAAGTTCCACCCTGTGTACAGGAACGAAAATTTATATTCATGTTAAATTGCTATATATATATTAACTACTTCTAATACTTGTTCTTATTAAAGCAAGGAGGCACTTGGTTACCATCAAAGTAACATTTTAAAGCATTTATAAATTACTTGAACAATGCGTTAAGTTTATATTAATATGAACTTTTCACAATTATCTTGATGTTATCTCGCGTTATATCAATTTAGAAAACAAGATATGCAGTAAGACTTTACTATATCCATAAACCACAATAATTATTGCTTATCCAATGGTCATAGTGATTATATTTTGTTATATAGTCTAATAATAATCACATGGTTATAAATAGTCATCCATTAATATTGGCAACGTCATCATTATCAGTAAAACTTCGTGACAATAAAACTTGATTTTCTTCTCCTCTTAAATTATGTTTAATATATAAGAAGAATCCAATAGAGATAATTAAAATGCCAATAGCGGCAATACCATAGAAAGTTATGCTGCCCAAAGATTCCAGAATACTGATGAACTTAATTAACCGAGCATAATCATCAGTTAAATAAACTTCTTGAGTAAACCATAACATGGGTACAAATGTTGTTTTAATATTCTTAAACATGCTAAAAAAGATAATATATGTTTTATTTGTTACTTTTTATATTAAAAAAATAAAATGAAAATTTACCTCATAATACTGTCTTGTTTGACCAATAAATTTAATTGTAGCTGAGCACTCACATTTAACGGGACGCCTGTTTTCTGTAAAAATTGTTCTGTGTATAATATAATGTGATGTGATTATTGATAGTTAGTTATTAGTCTGAAATAATTACCGGTTCTAGGGATAACGAAATTTGGTGTTTTTCTTTATCAGGTTTCATTCCTTCAATATTGTTAGTATAACTTGGGTCTGCCAAATAAAAATGTGGTAAACTGATGAATGCTGGAGCACCCCACTTACATAATGAAATATTTAATGCTCCAGAGGGAATGCATTCTCCTTCACAATAACAATGACGTGATGGTACGTTCGTACCATTATCGAGTATCGTACTATCGCTAATATACCTAGCACCCCTTATTCCTTTATAACTAGTTGCATTATCATATGTTAGTGACATACTCCTATTAATATAATTGACAAAGATGACTCATGTATATCTATTTGATTTTTTGTATTCTTTATTAAAATATTACACTCACGTGCAAATATCAGATATAAAGAAAGTGATGGTCTTATTATCAGGCAATGGTGGCCATAAATCACCATTTGTTCCTCGTACTATTCCACATTCTCCAGGATAATAACTTACTCTGTCCTGAAAGTTCCATTCTTTCACTATTCCTAATTCCAATAAATTGGTTTTACCAGTTAACATATTAAATGTTCCATCATATGATGCAGAACCATTTCGCTGTAAATAATAAAATATTACATATAAATAATATTTAAGCTATTTCTCCACTTTAGTAAGATTAGTGTGAAATTTACCCCATAAAACCACCCAAATTTGGGAAATGGAATTTCAGTAACATTCATTTTTCGAGCAAGTTTTAGCATAAGATCATCATAACCTTCGAAAAGTAATTCATTAACAGTTTTGGTTATTATTAACTTTTGTCTTATTGCTTTCATCATTTTATCTACTACATCACGGAGAAAAGGATTTTTATATCTTAATGCATATGCAACACTCTGAAAATGTTAATACAAAAAATGTATGTAAGATAGAGTAGCACTTGAGATGTAATAGTATTAAGATATACATACAGCAGTCACAGGGTTTACATTAGTTACTTTATCTGTTAAAGGTCCTACTGATAGAGATTCATCAAAATGCCATATCCTTTTTCTTTGAAATGTTATGGTATCATTTTCATGCCATTTTTGTTCTACTTTATAATCAACTTCTCTGTTATAATAAAACATTGTTTACAATTTAATTAATAAAAATTAAAGTATTTAACATAAATTTGATACCTAAATACATAAGGGCCCATTTCTACAAAATTTGGTTTTGCACCATTAATTGATGTAAAATCTTCTTGATTAGTTAAATTAAACATGTATAATTTTAAATACATAGGAATAGGTGTTTCTTTCCAAAACATATAAGTTGTAGATTGAGGTGATAATGTTAATTGCTACAAAATAATATATAAAGTTTAAATATTGATTAGGACTGTGACGAAAATATTTTGTTAAAATTTGTATAAAAATGCTTACCTTACTTAAGATTGATGAATAGATTGTAGCCCAAAGAATTGCTACAACTAATCCAAAAACTGTCAACAGTACACCTACAGAAAAAATTATAGCAAGTTTTTTATAATTCTTCATCTTTTTATGTGACTGTTTTGATCTGAAACAGATAATATTTTTTGTTAAAATTTGTTCTTAAGTATTAATCATTTAATATAATTATACAGCGAATATTATTTGCTATCAGTATCACATAATTTTCAATTATTAAATTTTGTTTGAGAAATTATATACAATTGATTACGCGATTTTTATTAACAATATTGTAATATTGGTTTATCCAAATTTAAATACATACTCCATATTTTAAATACTTTTGAAGACATAAATCTGTACTTATACTACATAATGTCATGGTTAGTATGTCATACACTCTAAACAAAATTGTATTATCTCATAATTTTTCAAATAATTATAATGTAATATTAGAAAGAACAATAATGTTTACACTGCAGTAAGAAACATTTTATATAATATTTTTGCTGCAATATGTAGTTACTAAGAATAGTTTAGTTAAACAATAAAACAAAGACGGTCAATGCAGTCATTTACGAATAGTAAATATTACAACACCTGCGCATAATGTATTTTAGAACGTAAGCGCGAAAATTCGAAAATTGATTACCTCAATATTTTATTGTACATCCTTTCTCTTATGAGGTCTTCTTATAAACTTTTATTAAATGAATTATTAACTTTTACATTCCTGATTTAAAAATTTCAAAATATATCGTTCGATCAATGTATACAATATTATTATTGGAATGATTTGACGTATTATTTTTTTGTACATAAAAATATGTATGTATATAAATGTTATGATTCATCTATTGAAATGACTTCAAAATTACACGTTCAAATATTTAAATGTAAATTGATCCATTAAAATTCACTTTAAAAAATATTGTTGCGCTTTCGATTAATATGCATAATTATGTATGTATAATAAGATAAAGTAGTGATTTAATAGAAAATGATGAATTCGCGATGAGTCACATACGAATGTATCATTCTTATAATTTTTATAATTTTTTCCAATTGAACCTGTGTATTTATATCGTAAACTATATCATGAGATTGTATAAAAATCTGGCAACTAAAAATTAAGTTTGTTAAGAATTTTTAAAGACAATTTTATACACATTAACTTATTTTCATTTTTCGTGTTATTTACTCTATTTATCTACATAATGTCTTTCTTTCTTGTTCATCTAATCAGTTCCTTTATTTTTAATGATAATAAATACAACAATAGCAGGGATTATTATCGTCGCAGATTCTTATTTATCTTTAATTTTAGATTACGAAAGATAATTAAATATTTATGTACAATGAGTCCTTGTTGATTTTATCATGAATATATTTTATAAAATTGTACTTATGCAAATGTATGCAATTATCTAATCAGGTTCGTTAAATACTGCAGACAAAATTTGCGGTTATTTAGTAATGTAAAGTTTAATAAAAATGCTACATAAGTTTATACATTCTTCAAGATAAGAAAGAATGAGAAGAAATTCAATAAATTTTGTATCGTCTTTAAACATCTTTCCATTTTTAATTATTTAGGGAATGGGAAATAATAATATAACAATTTTTTTAATAAAACTATTAGACGGGATATGATTCGAAGGAGCGAAAAAAATTAAAGACCTAAGTTCCCAGAGCAAAAGATTATTATCGGATATCGAACAAAGTTCAACTTCGTCAAACGTCCAAGGTTAATTAATCTGTAATAATTAATTTGTAAGCAAAATAAAGATAAAAATATATGATGAACATTGTATACAAAACGAAATCGTTTACTATATTTACATTCATGATTTAAAAATTTCAAAATATATCGTTCGATCAATGTATACAATATTATTATTGGAATGATTTGACGTATTATTTTTTTGTACATAAAAATATGTATGTATATAAATGTTATGATTCATCTATTGAAATGACTTCAAAATTACACGTTCAAATATTTAAATGTAAATTGATCCATTAAAATTCACTTTAAAAAATATTGTTGCGCTTTCGATTAATATGCATAATTATGTATGTATAATAAGATAAAGTAGTGATTTAATAGAAAATGATGAATTCGCGATGAGTCACATACGAATGTATCATTCTTATAATTTTTATAATTTCTTCCAATTGAACCTGTGTATTTATATCGTAAACTATATCATGAGATTGTATAGAAATCTGGCAACTAAAAATTAAGTTTGTTTGGTTAAATAATAAATAAGGTGATTTAATCGATTATTTTAAGTAATCTAATTAAGCATAAGTATATACGTAATACCTTGCCGAAATTGCATTGGAACGAAATAAATCTGTTTAAAAATATGTGTAGAAGCAGTGGTGAAAGTTGAAAAAATCAACACGAATCATATGTGTGTGCGTATGGGAATCTTTAAAAGTAAAAAGAAAGTGCATGCTGTCGAGAAAACAGGAAAGTCAATGACACTTAAATAACACTTTCTTTACGCGTATTATTAATCATTATTACATTTTAACTTATATAACTTAATATATACAGTCCTATATTAATTTCGTGGGTGATATTTCAATTGCAAGAAGATATGATTAAAACCGATTAAGTGTACGGCATTGACTAGTTAATTGTATTAAAAAATATTAAGATTACACTACAAATACAAGTGAAATCCTAATTGATCAAAATTAATACTATAAATTCAATTATACGATTTTAATTATAAATCTACTTGTTGAATTTTAAATGATTTTCAGTAGAACATAATCCTCTTACCGCTGTTAAATATTACTACTGGTCATAGACCGCCACGTTATTAAGATGCACTGGGACAGAATGTTACGTCCAATGGTAAAGAGAGATTACACGCTACTGGCCTGCGCAAACCTTCGGTCGACCATTTCGCGATTCGTTACAGCAAAGCTGACAGAGAAATTACTGAAAGAGTAGGGATTATTTAGTAGCAAAGCAAGTCATCGTTAATGTATTCCCTCTCTTCCAGTTTGGTTCATCAGTTTCGACCAATCAACAATTTATTGGTCATAATTTTCATGGTCACGATTTCAATTCATGTATCAAAAGAAATCACTTTATTTCGAATTATATTGTATAAATTATACCTTTCGAAAGTATTGATGAAAGTAAGGGAATATTACGAAGATTTTTTAAATTATAATACAACTTTATTTAGTATAATCTTATTGTGAAAAACATTACATCACTGAATAATCAGTCTTTACAAATTAAATACTCGGTGCATACAAATTTTACAAATGCGATGTGAGATAAACGATGTTTTGGTCCCTCACTGAGTTTAGATCCCCATCAGTAATAATTCAAACTAATTATCTATTGTCTGTTTAAGTAGACTAACGAAAATCAATACTGATAGGTTTTACTAAAAATAGTTATTTGTAATAATGCTAATTGTTTAATTTTGCGATACAGATGGTAACGATGACTTATGTCATTAACATGTTATCTAATAACTCAAGTTATCGCGATGTTGTTTGGATTATTCATATCTTCCTGTAACTGTGTACGATCTCGTATTCTTGCACACATTAAACTGTATTCTAAAACGCCAATTCGGACATTCATTTCGGAAATTTCATTTTTCATTTTAGTAATTGTCTTTTTTATATTTATTAGTGGCGCTAAAAAGAATATAGATGATCATATTACTTATGTAATAATATAGAATAATTTGTAACATACTTACTTCCATCTGTCATACTTGATCCTCGTTCATCCATTTCTTTTTTTATATGCTCTAATTCTTCTGATAATTTGTTAAAAATTCTTGTTCTTTCTGTTACACCTCCACTAACATCTCGATACTGTTCTTTAATTTTTGACAATTCATCCTGAAGCATTTGGTATTCCTTTAAACTAGGTTCAAGTTGCCTATTTAAATAGGATTCTCTTGTTTTTACTTTATCTAAAGTATTAATTATATCAGTATGTAATTTATCTAGTTGATTTTTTGTTCCAGTTAAATTTGTTGCTATGTTTGTACGTAACTGTTTCATTTGCTCTATATGTGATCTCCAATCTCTCGAATCTAAAATAAATTTCTTTCTTACAGTTTTGCATCTTCAATTTTCATTAAACATTCTGTACCTGTCTTTACAGTTACTTTGAGTTGAGGTAAAACTCTTTCCAATTCTAATTGCCACTCTTCTCTGTTTGTTTTAGATTCTAATATATCATCAGGTTTTTGTGCTTCTTTCTAAACAAAATTATAACAAAATTAAAATATATGTTTTCTATAAGCATATTAATCATCATGCTTACAAAATTTTGTCCATATAGTTTTGTAATATCATCAACATGTAAAATATCTTCATCTTCATCATCATATTCAGCCATCATTTCCTCCTCTACTTTTTCTAAAATTAATTCTGCATCATCATCTTCTATATCTGGTTCATTATTTGGTTCATCAGGTGATATTTCTACTCTAAAAATGTTTACCTATATAATACATGATCATACTTATATATATACATATATATCTTTAACAAATGTATTTTAAAAATTTACTTCTTCCATTGAAATTTTTGTGCCTTCAATGCCTCATCTGCTAAATTATCCAAAACATAAATAGCATGTTCACCACTTCCTTGTTTAAGTTTATTAGGTGGAAATTCTATTGGTACATTGGTACCTCTTAAGTGGTCCAATATTAAAGCTATTGTAGCATTAGGATCATCCGATTCTTGTGGAGCTTCAAAGTTTCCACCTGCTTTTCTAATTAACCATGCAGCTAAAGAAGTGAATGTATAAAATTGTTCTCCTGGATTTGTTTGCGTTACAAAGTAATTCCTATATTTTCAATTAGCATATGTTTCTTTTATCAATTCATGCAATACAAAATTAAAATATTTGTCCATAATTATAACTACCTATTTATAGCTTTTATTTTAAATTCTGGCAAAAGTTGAGTATCATAATGCAATAGTTTTAATTTTTCTAGTAAATCTTCCATTCTAATATACATAACATAAGAAGCAGATGGCGAAGATCCATCTTCTATAATAATTTTCGGAGCGTCACGAAACATTCCTGTAATTATAATTTTATAATTCATACCGTATGTGTATGTTTTAAAATCTGCCCATAAAAACAAGCATGTTTACCTTTTATTTTGTAATGTTTTTATGGAGGGTCATATAAATTGTTTATTAATATTTATTTATAAAATACACAGCTCAATTTATTAAATAAATAACTCGTACATATTTGCAGTATTGTAACGTTTACATTTCATTCTTTTATAATATCGATTAGCCGCATAAACGCAGACATGATATTTTACAGATATAACATCTAGTGAATTATCTAAAGTGCAGTTTAAGAACTCCAGAGACCTCTTCAATCTTTATATTGTATCTAATGTTACTGATTTATCACAGAATAAAATTCCAATTGCTAATGTATTTAATTAAAACAAAATATTATTCATTAAATATTAGAAAGTTATTTACTTTAAATTACATAAATAATTACAATGAAATGTATAACATTTTTCACTGTTTCGCAAAACATTATGAATTATAAAATTGAAATACGGAAACAACGTATTCAAAATATTATAATTATAATTTTTGATAATTTGTGATGAGAACAAATTATTAGATTTCTGTTCTGGCATTTAGAGAATTCCATTTCATTGTTATCAATAGCTAGAGATATTGGTTTGAAACGACTATTATTTCACTATTTCGTAATTTGGAAAAGACTTTCGATGGTTGGTAGTACCGTGAGTTGTTCATTTTGTCGATTTTGACAATCGGTCATTTCAGTTTTCGGTTAGGTTTATTGAACTTTGCACGTGAAAAGCATTATAGTGATTATACTTCTAAGAAAAGCACACATGAATCATCAGATTTGATCCTAATGCTATCTAACGTCTATTTATATTAACATCATTAGAATGATGTCGGAACCTTTTCTGTTCATAATAGCCTTAATCAATACCGGTTCAGTACTTTTCCTTTTAGTATATTTTGTATCCTTTTTATACTTTATTGTTCAACAAGAAGTTGCTGTTTTTATTTTTTGTTATGCACATAGTATTATTAATCAATCATAAAATTTTACATATAATTTATTGAAAATATGTACCTAGGGATTTTTATGATATTTGTTTTGTATGGTATTGAAGTAGGTGTAATGGCGCCAGATTTGATTTTAAATATTTTTAAAGTAATTTTTGTCAATGAAAATCATTCTGTTAGATTCCTTATCTTAAAGATATAATATCCATACAGGTGGTCACTCTATCAGATTTAGAATGTGACTATTTGAATGCTCAAGAATGTTGTTCGAAGTTAAACATGGTAATTACATAGTATTTTTATTACAACTATTGATTAATATAAATATAGTAAAATTAATTTTTTATAACAATATGTTTTAGTGGATAGTACCAAAGCTTGTAGCACATTCATTTTTGGAATTTTTATTATTAATACATGGGGAATTGATATTATGTTTGGTAAATTTACCTATGACAGTATGGTTAATGTGTGAATACTTTGGAGTACCCAGTGGTAATATGGGAGTTTATGACCCTACAGAAATTCATAATCGTGGACAATTAAAAAGGCATATTAGAGATTGTATGATCTATCTTGGATATTATCTAATTTTCTTTTTTATTTATCTTTACTGGTATGTATATTTTAGATATTGCATTAATCATCATTAATATTAAGTCAATATTTATTATCATTTCTTATGTATATTTTTCAGCATGATTATTGCATTATTAAAAGGAGATCCGCTCAAGAGAAATGAAGTTGGATTATTAAATACAAATTAATAGCATCGATAATATTTAAACTTTTATATATCCTTGTCTTTTATTTCAGTCATACTTAACCATTTATTTATTTTTATATTATAAATACCAAATGAAATGTTGTTAACATGTATAAAAGTCATATACTTTATTGTTACAATTATCCTTAACTAGTACTGTATTTTTAATGACTGAAATTCGTTGAATATAAAACTTCCATAAAATTGTACAAGTTTCTATTTCAATTCAATTGTAACTATATATAGAAGAGAAACATTTTAATTTTGTAATTATTAAAACTCAAACAAAGTAGGAATTCTAAATAAAACAGCTTGTTATATATATCAAATAAATGTATATATAGTCTTTGAAATTTACTTTTTAATTAATAGTTTGAATATTCTAATGTCATTAAAATGTAATAAAAGACTTAATGACTCGTTTATCCACCGACTCGTTAAATTAAATTGAATCGGCTTTACTGCTTGCGGCATAAGATTAGATCGATTTAATGAACTTGGTGCAGCTGATTAGCTTTTTTCTATATGGAGGGCATATATTTATTTTTAGGCAAGACCAGAATTAGCAACAAAGTTTGCCGAAATCTTTGAATTACGTTCGAACTAAATACGTATGTCGTTTAAAAGAAGAAAGGTCACGGCTATAATATATAATAATCAATTAAAAGAAAAAAGTATTTGTGGAAAATCACGACATCAAAATAGCATTAAAAAAACCGCAAGTAGTAGGTTATTGAATATCACGGTTCGCGTTAAAATCAATTTGAGCGCGATAGGCGCACGTGTAATGCGTTCTCGTATAATCTGGTGGTTTGTGAAACAGTTTGAGCGCCTCCTGGCGACGAGGATAACGGGTGACGGATGACGGGTGACGGGTGGCGGTGCTGGGATTTACTCGGAACATCTTCGGTACGGCGCGCGGAAGAATGTTCTTCTGGACCAAGTGAGTGCGTGAGTGCACAGAAGTACGAAAACTTTCGCGGTGCATATCAATTATAAGTTTCTTTTACCGTGAAGCATATGTGTTAAACTATCCTTTTCATTTCAATTGAGATACTAGACAGTGATTTAGTAATTTCGAGATTTGTTTTTCCTTCAAAACATTTAATTAACCGGGGCTGACGTCGATGTTCACCAAAGACTCTACGAATCTGTTATCGATATTCGCAAGACGGTACCAGTCAAAATTTTGCGACGACGACGACGACGACGACGTCGTCGTCGAAATACGGTCGCATCTTTCATTACGGATGATCAAACAACGGCACCTGTCAAGGTAAGGTGGTTCACGAGGTGCGTCTAATGCATAAGAAATTCTCGATGAGGCTTACGTTGCCGTCACCGTCACCGTCACCGTCATCGTCGTCGTCGTCGTCGTCGTCGCCGCCGTCGCCGTCGCCGTCACCGTCACCGTCACCGTCGTTGTCGTCGTCGTCGTCGTCGTCGTCGTCGTCGTCGTCGTCGTCGTCATCGTCGTCGTCGTCGTCGTCGTCGTCGTCGTCGCCGTCGTCGTCGCCGTCGCCGTCGCCGTCGTTGTCGTCGTTGTTACCGTTGCCATCGTCGTCGTCGTCGTTGCCGTTATCGTCACCGTCACCGTCGCCGTCGCCGTCGCCGTCGCCGTCCTTGTCGTCTTCGTTGTCGTCGTAGTCGTTGCTGGTGCCATTGCCGTCGTCGACGTCGTCATCGTTCTGTTTTTTATTAATCATTGTCATTGTGGTTATCAACGTCTTTGTGCTTGTTATTGTTGCCATTGGCATAATCAGTCTGCATCGCTTGCTCCTTTATTAGTGCATTTGTGCTAGGAATTAATACTGTCTTTATATCAAACTACTCGCAGTATCCTTCAGGCAGGATGGCGGGTAACAAGACAACAGGTAGTGTCTTGCAATTTAGACCCATTGAGGTGTCTCAACAATTACAGGATGGAGAAAAATTCATCAAATGGGACGAGGTATGAGTTATATATCAAATTATAGTAGATTTTAGATGGTATGATTAAATTTTAATTGACAAATTATGCTATTTTATGCATGACAATTAGTTTTATTTATATTTCTATGCAGGATTCTGGTATAGTAACTCCAGTAACATTGAGGGTAGACAAGTTTGGATTCTATCTGCATTGGGTGGATCAACATAATGAAATGGAAATGTTGGATATTGCTGTAATAAGAGATACTAGAACTGGAAAACATGCTAAAGTACCTAAGGTATTAAACTGTCTGTTTTAATTTATTTTCTTTTCTTCATTAATAGATTCAACGTATTTTAGTTTTTATACGTAAATTTAGATAAGTTAATTTATGATTAATTACATCAAAGTTAAGCCTAAAGTTAGTTAAATGTTTCGTTTGTTCTATATATTAGCGTGCATTAAGCATAAATATTTGGAAATGAAGCTGTCTTGCCTTTCTATAATTATATCATGCTTTTGCGTGGTTGCTAATGACGCACAGCACCACTACATAATTATTGACAAATCTATAAATAGAATATTACCTACTTTCTGTCCTCAATGTAGTTCATTTTTTTCAGTCACACCTATCTTTGTACACAATGGCAATATTCTTAGTATAGGAAGAAGAGCAGTTCTTATCTACTCCATTTTCCTATAAATCAATGAACATTTAGTAAAGTGGCATTGTATGTAGTTTCAGTTTGTACTGACAGCTTATTGTAATGTAAGCTATTGTTATTACCGTGTATAAGTTTATTCCATATGAATAGATTTTGTTAAGGTCATTGCATTGAAACGTCAAAATTGTTTGTTTTGTTAGAACTTGCCTGAATAAAGAAATGATTTTCAGGATCCCAAATTGAGATATCTTGTGACAATGGGCTCTCAAGATTCTTTAGAGGAAAAGACAGTAACAATTTGTTATGGATCTGATTTTGTCAATATGAATTTCATTAACTTCTGTACAACACGTGCAGAAGTTGCACAACATTGGACAGAGCAAATTTTTCAGCTTGCATATAATTTATCTCTATTAAATATCAGCACAACTATGTTTTTGCAAAAAGCACATACCAAACTTACACTTGCAGCTGATAAATCAGGAAATATCCCCGTAAAGAAGTGAGCACTGTTTATATATTTGCGCTTATTAAACTAAATCTATGTTTATATATTATGTAATATATATATTACACGCACATATTTATATATAAATGTGCATACTTTATACATTGTGATTTCAGCATAATAAAAATGTTTACGCAAAACAGAGAAGATCGTAAACGTGTCGAAAAAGCACTTGATATTTCCAGTCTTCCATCTGGAAAAGTGAGTGTAATATCTGATTTTAATGTAAACATGATTTCCTTGACATTAAAAATTGCATTCCTTTCATTTTTAGAATGATGTAATATCATTACAAAAATTTCAATTTGAAGATTTTTTCAACTTTTATAAGTCTCTTACTCAACGATCGGACGTTGAAAAAGTTTTCGAACGCATCGTAGGCAATAATAAGCGTAGGCTAATGTCTGTCACACAATTTGTTGATTTTTTGAATAAAACTCAAAGAGATCCGCGTTTAAACGAGATATTGTATCCTTATGCAAATGAGGCGAGAGCAAAAGACATAATAAGTCAATACGAACCAAATGAAAGTAATGCTGATCGGGGTCAGTTGAGTTTCGATGGGTTCTTAAGGTACTTGATGAGCGAAGATAATCCAATTGTAGCTTTATCGAAACTTGAATTATCGGACGATATGGACCAGCCGCTTGCGCATTACTTTATAAATTCTAGTCACAATACATACTTAACAGGTATATTACTTTCTTGATTTCTATTCATAATCGATTATGCAAATATATAAGGTTTTATATATTTTAAATACGCTTGTAGGACATCAACTTACCGGAAAAAGTTCCGTTGAAATATATCGTCAGTGTCTGCTTGCTGGTTGTCGATGTGTAGAATTGGACTTTTGGAACGGAAAATTTGATGAACCTGTCATTGTTCATGGGTATTTTTATTTTACAACGAAATAATAAAAATTACATATTATATACTTCTTTAAAAATATTTTATAGATATACATTTGTACCTGAAATATATGCACGAGATGTAATTGAGGCAATTGCTGAAAGTGCTTTCAAAACTTCAGAATATCCTGTTATCCTTAGCTTTGAAAATCATTGTAATCCAAGGCAGCAAGCTAAGATAGCTCAGTATTGTAGAGAGTTATTCGGAGAAATGTTGCTAGATGCACCACTTGAATCTCACAAGGTATTTTTGATATATTTGTAATTTCAGTGGTATTTTTTTTTCTATTTGCGTTTTTTTAATAAGTAGTATTTAGTTGGAACCAGGTCAAGAGTTACCACCTCCATCTTTATTAAAACGTAAGATTATAATTAAAAATAAAAAAAAGCATCATCACCACCATAAAAAACATAAAAAGAAGCAACAGACACCAGCTATAGAGTCTGAAGAAGGAGTTCAAGAAAACGAAGATAATGGAGTAACGAATCAAATTGCGGAGGGAGAGAATGGCCCGCCGCCAGATGTTGTTCTTCAAGTTGAAACAAATGATAATAATGATCAACAGGTTGGAAATGGAGATATTTCGCATCCTCCATTGCTACAGCAAAGACAAGGCAGTAAGGATAGTACTCAGGATGACGAAGGTCAGCACTCAATGACAAATATATCGTTGAACATTTAGGCAGAATAGTGGAAAAATTTACTTTATTTTCTTTCTTTTTTTTTCAGAAGAAGAAGAGGAATCTAGTACAGAGGAGGATGAATCAAATGTGGAGGATATAAAGTTGAGGATAGGTGATAAGGTACCTGCACCTGATAAAGTAGCATCTAGCACCAAAGAAACGGAAGCTGGAGCGGAAATTTCAGCCTTAGTTAATTATGTACAGCCTGTTCATTTTAACAGTTTTGAATCGGCTGAAAGTACGTTCATATGTATTACGATACGAACTACCAAATTATTTTGTTTTTTTCTTCTTCTTCCATACTTGTATTGTGATATTAAAATTCTTCAATCAATTGTTACAGAAAAAAATCGCATGTATGAGATGTCATCATTCGACGAAAAACAAGCTACGACGCTTTTAAAAGAAAGACCATTAGAATTTGTAAATTATAATAAGCATCAATTATCAAGAGTATATCCAGCAGGAACACGTTTCGATTCTAGCAATTTTATGCCTCAAGTGTTTTGGAACGCGGGTTGTCAACTAGTAGCATTAAATTATCAAACACTTGATCTTGCAATGCAACTAAACTTGGGAATTTTTGAATACAATCAGCGTTGTGGTTATCTCTTGAAGCCGGAGTTTATGAGACGAAAAGATCAACGATTAGATCCTTTTGCAGAATCAACTGTAGATGGTATTATAGCAGGAACGGTTCATATACATGTAATATCAGCTCAGTTTTTAACAGACAAAAGAGTCGGCACTTATGTGGAGGTGGATATGTATGGTTTACCAGCAGATACAGTGAGAAAGAAATTTCGCACGAAAATTGTTCCAAACAACGGGATCAATCCTGTTTATGACGAAGAACCTTTTATATTTAAGAAGGTTGTTTTGCCCGAACTTGCTTCAATTAGGATTGCTGCATACGAGGATTCAGGTCGTTTAATTGGTCATAGAGTGTTACCTGTAGTTGGATTATGTCCAGGCTATCGACATGTTGCTCTTAGAACAGATGGCGGGCAACCATTGTCGTTAGCAAGTTTATTTTTACACGTAATTGTGAAGGATTACGTCCCAGATGGTCTGAGCGAGCTTGCTGAAGCTTTGGCAAATCCAATTAAATATCAAAGTGAAACAGAGAAAAGGGAAAAGCAATTATCCGTTCTTACGGATTGTTCCGAAGATCTATCAGAGGAAATTGATGTAAGGTTTGATACGTGAAGAATTTATTTATTACTAACTCGTTAATACTAACAAATATATACTAACATTTTCTAGGATAAACCCAAAGTTGGTGAAGGAGCAAGTTCTTCTAAGCCAACTGTAAGTTTATCGGTCAAAGAATTTCGACCGATATACGCTATTTTATATTTACGTTTAAATATTTTGTCTCAGGAGGAAATCATCAAAACGAAACGACTGCAATCCGTGGGTGAATTACCAACACTTGCTCCAGCAACTACAAATATTCATGGTAGACCCTCTATCGCTGGTTTAAACACGCCCGATACGCAAGATAACGAGGATGGTACGCCAGCCTCTACGGTTCAAGTCGTTGATGCTTCCGCAAATAAAAGTCCTGTTAATGTCAGCGGTAGTAAGTATCGATTACCTATTACATTCTGTTTGGATGGCATAATTAGTTCTTTTATATTGCAGTAGGTGATGAAATAATGGCCGAACCTTTAGAGAAATTAATGGAGAACAAACTTGTTCGAGATAAGAAAATAGAGCTCGAGAAGAAACTCGAATCATTGCGGAAAAAGCACGAAAAAGAAAAATTAAAAATGCAAACTCAAACGCAGAAAGGGTCTATTGACGGTGAAAAGCAGAAATCGAAGTTTTATGTCAGCCAGAAACTTGTAAAGCGATTGTCAAGTAGAAATATGTGAGTCATCGATTTTAATTTAAACATCCGTTCATCTATAAACATTTTTACATATTTTTATATTTCTTGTGTAGCTTTTCAAGCGAAGTAGGGTTAAGTACGTTACCTTTGGCAGAAACGTCGGAATGCACAGACATAGAAAACCGCGAAGGAAATGGTGGAGCACCGAAAGGATTACCTAGAAGTCAGAGCGAACAACGTTTACTGGCTGTATGTAAAATTCATGTACAACAGGAACGGGAACTTCAAGAAAAGTACTATGAAAATTTATTCGCGACTGTGGAGAAAGTAATGAAAACCTCTCAGTCTAATCAGTTGAAAACGTTAGAAGTACTTTTGGAGCGAGAAACTGCCGATGTTATGAGGAAACTTCAAGCTACGAGACATGGAGAGGTACATGTTACTTATATTGATTTATTACTATAAAATGCATCTTTTCTTTGTAAATAGTAGCTGTGATATCAAAATTTGTATTTAATTTCAGGTAAAACAGTTAGCAAAGGTACATAAAGATAAAGCTGAGTTAGATCGAATGAAGAGGGAAGTTGCAAAGTCTACAGTCGAAAAGGGTGTAAACGAACGCACACGACTAAAAAAAATTTACGAGAAAAAGAAAGCAGAGCTCGAACGGCAGCATGAAGAAGTTCGGCAAAGGTTAGAAGCAGAAAGGAAAAAGGTATATATTTGTTCTTTCATGTTTATTTTAGGATTATCAATTTATTTATATAGTAGGATGATTTAAGTTGTGTTTCTATTCATATTTCAGGTTAAAACAGCTTTAGTCGCAGAGTATAGCAGTCGATGTAGTAAGTACGACAGTGGAGAGCTACCTTTGTCGCCATCCAGCGGAAGTGGTATGACAGAATCACTCAGTGGAAATACGTATTGACTGAAATAGTCGATAATTTAATATCGACGTCTCATAGTGACACAGTTTGTTGGAGTATACACAAATACATGTCAACAAACTGTTTTTGCTGGAAGTATGTATCCGTTTGGAAAGTTGACAGTAACAGATTGTGCGTTGCTCCTCCATAATAAGAAGGGGTCGCAGCGGCGGCGTAACGATCATGATGATAAGATGTTCGTGAAATTTACGCAGTTACCTGTGTTTTGCTAAACTAATTTTATTCACTTCTAAAAATATCTCTTTTGTAAGGTATGCAGCATTTATGAAGTGATGTATGATTTTGACGCAGAACGCCATCAAGTTAGGAGGTAATTGTTACATAGCGTTTTGTCCACAAAGCATTTGATAAACGTCTTGCGTGCAAGGAATCTCTTTTAGAACGATTTAATGATCTGACAAGCATCGTTTTAATCGATTACTACAGATAAGTGCGTTCGAATATGTGAATCTCATCGCATATGAGCTATTACGAAAAGTTCGATGTTGAGTAACGCGTTAAGACTATTTTCTATTTACTCAAAGACTCTGTTTTTCTTTTTTTTTTTTCTTTTTTTTTTTGGAAGGTTAGTAATATACGTTGATCGACTGTTTAATCGATTGATTCTCTGCGCATGCGGGAACGCCATTTTGATCTCAACACGGAAAGTAGCATTGAGCATATTGCGTTCGAAAGGGTAGGAATTGAGGTTCATTCTTCGTTTCTTTTTTTTTTTTTTTCTTTTTCTTTTTGATGTTACTTACGCACAGTATTAAACGCACTATTTCTCATTACACTCGAGACCATCGCCGCCAGTGTCGAGGTTTTAAAAGTTCCGTTTTAAAAGTCGATGAAATTTCGGAAAAGCGAAGAATACGACTATGTGGGAGAGGTACATGATTCTAAATAAGAATAATGTTTCTAAGTGCTACTATTTAATCTTGTTATTATATGTATAAGATGTTATTTAATTAACAAGTCGATGCTAAATCGCGTTCCAGGATACTCGGGTTGTTTTGTAACGTGAAAAAGCACAATTGACGTTCGGCACATTGGTAGGATTTTGCCGAATTCGAGATGCGACGACGAAAAGGGACGTGGCAGGAAATGTATGAAGGAGAGTGAAATCTCTTTGGCCTAGAGGTAAGGGACGCGGTAAAGTTTACGATTCGGATGGGCGTGTGCGTGATTTGATATATTTTTGACTGAAAGTACTCCGTATAAAGACATTTTTTGAATAGTCCGTATCGTGAATGACAAAGAGATCGTATTGTATAAAGAAAGCAAATATAGAAAATTCCAAAAAAAAACAAAAAAAAAACAAACAAACAAATGAAGCAGAAAAAAGAAGATAACTATTAACGGGAACGTTTCTAGCGTTTTTGTACCGCGCGATTTCATGCCGCGGCCATTTTGAGGCCGTGGCGAAACGATTGGAGCGAGGAAGACAATCAAAAATGTTACGTTGTAACATTGTCCTTGTTGTTTCTAATTGTATGTTATTTTAAGTAACTCGATATTACACATACATATTATATATATACACATATATCTTAATATATATACATATATATATTCTTAATAGTTATTACAAATTTAGAATTAAAAGTCACACACTTGCGCATTGTAAATCTTTCTCGTGTGATCCATCCCATTAATTTATTTCGTAAACAATCACCGAGATACGTCGGAAGTATCACGAATCGCGAGCTTTTTACAAAACGTCGTGTTTTATTGATGATTCGTGCTCATCGCATTCGACATGCGTGTATGGTACACGCGCACGCACGCACACGCACGCACGCGCGTACACACACACACACACACACAGAACATACGTACATTATATACATGCGAACGCACGTAGAGCGCAATTGTTGCCGATGCGAAAAAAGAAAAGGGAAAAGAAGAAAGAAAGAAAATGGAGTACATTTGCTATTATAACACTGTCGTCATTTACGTTGCGTCGAGGGGTTCCGATTGGATCAATTCCCTTCGATTTGGAGACTGAACTCGATCCCGAATCGTTGATAAACTATCGTCTATCCGTGATAATTTTGCCACCGTTGTTTTATTTATTTAACGGGGCGCTTTTTATGCTACGATGTACACAAGGTTCCATGTGTCCCGTGAAGATGTCAACCTGCATAAGGAACGAACGCGTAATTTGTTGGCATTTAGGCTCGTTTCATTTCGACGTTCTTTATCCTTTTTTACCACGAAATATCACGCAAGAAGGTTGAACGTCCACCATATTGCGCAGTTCTACGTTCTAATTTATACGTTCGTTTCGGGTGATTTTATACATCTTCCACGCTGATACTACGCTGTTTCCAAATGATTTTATTGTAACACGAGTCAATGCAAGCAACGATGCACGGATCGAGTATATATCGTTTTCTCGAGGCAGAGAATTTTCCTGCTAGCAGGTACGCGCGAACGACTCGTACGGTTTAGTTTAGGCGATCGGGAAAGAATATGCGATAACGAAGCGATGATAAGCGAAAATTGCAAGGTCCTGCGAGAAGCGTAGCGAGAATGCATCCTAAACCTCTCGCAATATCGTAGCAACCGGCTGTTTAATTTATGCACAAAACACTGCATTTTTGTTATTATAGAATGGGTATTAGCATATGTTACGTATCCGGCAGAAAGGGATCAGTTTAGCGTTAGGTAGTTAAGCGTATCCGCTTAAATATAGTTCTAGACGTCCATCCGGATGAAACGATCGTACACGACGAGTTACCATTTCCTTAAGTTTACGCCGATTTATCGTGATTGCATTTCTCCACGAGTTACCATCTTCCATGAGAAGAGAAGGAAAAGAGAGACGTACGTTGCGGTGGACTCGATTGATGAGAACATTTAACTCGAGAGGAAAACAGTGATAATCTATTAAAAGATGAGATAATGTAAGTGTAAGCGGGTATAATTTAATTAAGTAGCGGTAGCCATTGCTCGACTACTCGTAAGCGTTTCAACGCGAGAGAAATCAATAGTACATTATGCTAAGTCGTACAAGATTATCGGAAGTTTATATATATATATATTATAATATATATACATATGTATGTAATGTTCGTATACACATTATACGTGTGTCGATGTTTTTCCGATCGTTTAGTCGCAACGATGCACGCCTCTCGCATCGCTGATTCTTGCGATACCAAACGGGTTCAACGATGTAGGGAATGGGTAGGGGGTTACCGGCAGATTCTCGCGATTCGATGCAAAGCACAATGTTCGATAGATTTTCAAGAGATGCGCACAGGTATCGCGGCGATGCGTAGGCGTGAATTTCTTCAAACGCTTGTATAGTCGAGAGCGAAACGTTTTGCGAATAATCGGACTGCGAAGAGAACTTGATGTTCCACGATCAGTTATGCGCTTGCACGTGCGATTTCGTCAGGATCGGCGGAAGAAAAGTATGGCGGCGTCATCCAGTCGCGCAAAATGCGTTTCGATTGTTCGTAATTATGGTTTCGCGGTACATACTCTGGTCTCGCGTTTTCGGCTGATTTTTTCTTGAGGCGCGAGCTGGCGTGCGAAAGTCCGAGAAAATTTAAAAAAAAGAAAAAATGAAAAAAAAAAAGAAGAAAATAGGATAGAAGGACAGGAAAAATGAAAGAAAGAAAAAAGAAGACGAGTCAGATTGGGCTCGCGCGATGCATTTTCTTCGAATATTTTTTCCGCGCGCCATACCATATAGTTATATCGCGTAATTCGCATGAGACGAACACCGTTTCGTCCTCTTCCTATATTCCTGTAATATGCATAATGCATGCACGAGCGCGAGCAATAGTCCGAGCGTCTCTTCGAAAATCACCCGAATGTATTTGCTATTTGTGCCAGCGTATGCGCGCTCGTACATTATGTATATTACACATGTACCTAATGCGTATAAGTATAAGAATGAACTAGGTTACGAGGACAGATATTATATTCATGTTGATATATTATGTGTTGTTGCTGTTGATGTTGTTAACGGTAGAGTAGCGAAAAGGTGGCAGTTCTAGCATAGTCGTTGTTCATAGAGTTAAATGCGAGGTTAGTTTTGTGTTACTCGTATGCGACACGTGGTCGCGTAATCCGCACGATAAGGAGTCGCGAAATTTGCTACGTCGTACCATGGGCGGCGTGTCGCGGAGCTTGCCAAAATCGAAATACGTATATAAACATGTATGTTCCCCCATGACGAAGCGAACGATCGCGGCGCTGACCGAGCGGTGGCGATTCGTGCGAATTGCGCGCATCTTTTATTACCGGCGTATCGATGCGAAAAAGAGACGCGACAATGGGTACAGATCGCATGTACGCGTCGCGATTGCGAGTTGTAGGTTATTTTGAAACGGCCTATCGACGATCGTGGCGGTCCGGCGTCGCTCGCCTTCCTTTCGAAGTGATCCCGCGCATGCGCGTGCTCGCTTTCCCGAAAGGACGTTCGGTTTTTTTTCCCAGGAATCTCGCTCACCGCGCATGCGTGTTCAGGCGAGCGTCTCGCGCGAAACGAACGACACGCAAAATTTTCTACGATACCGTGCGATTATTCGGCTCGCGTAAAGAATTTCTCGCGAAACAACGATTCATCGTACCTGACTCGGTTCCTCGTAGTCCGCTCGACGTTCCTTCCGCGAACACGCGGGGAGGAACACACGAGCAGAGGAACGGGCACGCGAGAACGGGACACGCTTTTAGACCGCATCCGAGAGCTCTCACGACAGAGCCATGCTTTTCGGATCGTCAAATCTGTCAATTCTTCGATGCTTCGAATATTCCTCGATGTTCAATGTAATTTTTATCGTTCTCTATCGAACCGGTTCGCTCTTTTTACGATCTTCTCGATGGTTCTTTTCTCTTTTCCACGCTCGCCTTTCTCGCTCACCGAGCGGAGAACGTTTTGCTATTGTCGTGCGCGTAACTCTTCGATCCCGCCAATCACGCGTGTCGTCGGGTTTATTCTTGCCCCGCGCATTACATCGCGAACGATTTTCCATAGTTGGACGCGGGGACACGGAGCCGCGCGATCTCCGCCATCTTTTTTTTCGCCCGAACCGCCTGTTCGTTCTCGTTTATCGCTATCCTCTCGAAAGCTATTCGAGCTAAATTTATTGTTCCCTTCGTATCGCGTAAGAAGCAGCGGTATATCGATCGTCGCGGAATATTTACGGACGATTAATAACGCTCGATCCGTTTGCGGCGTGGAGGCGCGTATCATAACCGCGTTTTCCTTCCGCAAATTAGAACGACAGCTCGTGTGTCGCGCGCAGTTTGTTTTCCCTCGATGCTCTTTCCACGCTCGATTCCTTTTCGTCGGCCGACACACGCAACACACGTAGAAAATGAAGGGTTTCGCTGTTTGCTCGTCCACGAGCTACCACGACCTACCACACCGTGCTTCTCCGGTTATTCTTAATTGCCCGTACAAAACCGTGCGTACCCATTAACCGTAATTTACGAGTCGCTTCCACATTAGACCGGCCAGGGGAGGATTATTCGTTCTAATGTTCTCAAGATTTCCTCTCGATACATATTTTAAGCCACTTTGCACCGGCGCCGCGCGCGAATTGATTTAACGCGGCTATTTCATTTTCTTTACGGAAACCTGCGTTTTCGCGGTACGCGTGTTGCATGTACTAACACGCAGCTGTTCGTCGGCAGACGATAGATCTTGATTCGTCTACGGGAGTTCCGGAAAACCGGCGGGAACGCCGAGTAACTCTCGCGGGTCGACGACGCTTGCCTCATCGGTTTCCGGCGTCTGGAGCTCGACGATCTTCGTCGTCACGACGCTAGATCGATCGAGGAAATATTCGCGATCGTCCATCGCGGATACGAAATTCAGCCGCATCGAGTCCGATCTGCTCGTGTCTCGATCATTCCTCTATTCTTCCGCATCCGACGCTTTGACGCACAATTGTATACGTACGCACATACGAGCACAAACGCATTGCTTGTATTTGTTTAATGCTATCTGTAACGTGCCTCGTGAACCTATATGCTTCGTAGCTTCGACAAGTGGTCATTGGAAAACTCGAAACTAGCCACGACACATTGATACCTTATGACATGTGAGGCCACGTTATTTTCGCTGCTTTCTGCCATTCATCGGTATACGCGTTGTTTGAACTTCTTTGAAGGTACCTGTAATCTGTTTTCTCGAATCTATATGCTTCGTAGCTTCGACAAATGATTATTAGAAAATTCGAAACTAGCCACGACACATTGATACCTTATGACATGTGAGGCCATGTTGTTTTCGCTGCTTTCTGTCATTCATCGGTATACGCGTTGTTCTGTAACTTGTTTTCTTGAACCTATATGCTTCGTAGCTTCGACAAATGGTCATTGGAAAATTCGAAACTAGCCACGAGGCATAGGTACCTTTTGACATGGGAAACCATATTGTCTTCGCTGCTTTCTGCCATTTATCGGTATACGCGTTGCTTGTATTTCTTTAATGGTACCTGTAACGTGTCTCGTGAACCTATGTGCTTCTTAGCTTCGACAAGTGATCATTGGAAAATTCGAAACTAGGTACGATGCATAGGGTACCTTCTGCCATGGGAAGCCACGTTGTCTTTGCAGTTTTCTGTCATTTATCGGTATACACGTTGCTTGAATTTCTTTAATGGTACTTGTAATCTGTTCGTTCGAATTTGTATGTTTCGTAGCTTCGACAAGTGATCATTGGAAAATTCGAAACTTGGCACGATGCATAGGGTACCTTTAGATATGGGAAGCCATGTCGTCTTCGCTGCTTTCTGCTATTTATCGGTATACGCGTTGCTTGTATTTCTTTAATGGTACCTGTAACGTGTCTCGTGAACCTATGTGCTTCTTAGCTTCGACAAGTGATTATTGGAAAATTCGAAACTTGGCACGATGCATAGGGTACCTTTAGATATAGGAAGCCATGTCGTCTTCGCTGCTTTCTGCCATTCATCGGTATACGCGTTGCTTGAATTTCTTTAATGGTACTTGTAATCTGTTCGTTCGAATCTATTTGCTTCGTAGCTTCGACAAGTGATCATTGGAAAATTCGAAAGCGACTAACTACGCATAGGTACCTTCTTTCCTTCATTTATCGGTATACGGGTTGCGTTCGTTTTGTTAAATTCTACAGACGTGTCCCCGCGATCTATGGGTTCGTCGCACGCTTTGCAAGAAGCTGGTCCACCTCGTTTCACGCTAGCTGTTCACGCGCCGATCGACCCTGTCGTCGCGACGAGCGTCCGCGCAGATCTTCCGTAACGATAAGAATTTTTTGAGCCGTTTTTACACATCTGTATACTACTTCCGCCTGTCTGTCGAGCCGCGCGCTATCGCCACCGCGACTCATCGATTATCGTTCCCCTTTGGACTGTTTTCCTATATTTCGGCATATTTTTCGATTTCGACGCATTTACATTGTTTCTCGCTTGAGCCGTAGTTCCGTGTTCTAGCTGTATACGCGATGTAGGGACAACGTCGTAGGCGCTGCACGCTGCAACTTTCCACGTGGCGGTCGTCCACGTCCGATAGATTCGCGCCGGTGACGGGAAAGCGGAAAAGATTCCGGGAAACGCGCTAGAATTCTCGAGTTGCTTCCATTTAGCGTTTCGGTACCACGCTCCTCGCTCAGCTGATCCGCGTTGCTCCCTCGGGGGGACGGCGCGCGGGATATTCGCGTGATATTCGCGTGATATCCGCGTGACGAGTGTGCGAACTTGGGCGAAACGAGGGAAACGAGTGAAAATCGTTTCTCGCCGCGTTGGCGTTGCCGCCGGTTCCGGCATGGTAATTCGATTGCACGGAATTTCGAGCAAGCGTCAGGGTACCGAGACGATCGATGTCGACGGTTTCCAACCGACTTATAAACTTGGGTGTATTTTTTAGCGAGAAGCGTTAGTAAAATTGTTATCGCCTGTATGGATACCGTAAGCACCGTAAAATAACAAAAAGAAAAAGAAAAAAGAAGAAAAAAAGAAAAAAAAAATGATAAGAAACTCACTTATATACCTGTACGACGATATACGAGTTTTAATGATATTCTATAAATGGCTGTACCGTATTGTAAAATCAAAGATATAGTGTACAATAAAGTTTAGTGTCGTAGAAACGACGCCACGACCGTTTCTTTCCTCTTCCACTCGTCGTTTACGCCTGATGCTCCTATGTCGGGCGCCATCGAACGACAGACTTAGAGTAGTACGCATCGTGGATGCGGAGAGAAATTAAATAAAGCAATTTGAACGTTTCACGTGCGTTTATTAACGAGAACAAGTACAACGACGAGCTCGCATTCATTCCCGCGAACGTTGTCAAACGACGCGTGTAATGGATTTCTCAGCACGTACCGGAAGGCTTCTTCACGTACGCCACGAGAATGTGATATCTATCCAAGATACTGTATTCTTGCTGACCGTTGTCGTTCTTGTTAGGAAACAAGATCTTCCGACTCGCTACTTCGCGCACTACCACGTCCTCGAACTCCTCTTTGAGGTGATCAGGGATCCGCGAGATGAAGGGATTAACCGCAATTATATGACCTGCAACAATGATCGATCCACCCTTACAGCGCGCAACCCGTCTTCAACCCACATTTCCTCCCGCGTGTTTCCCGATCTCGATCTGCCCATAAACGCGCCATTTTTAACTGCACGCGAAACGGACCATGCGATAAATTACGATACGATTCTGTACTTTTCAGTGCTTCCATGTTCTGGTAAACGAAGCTCTTTTCCCTCCTGCTGCAGTGTAGGATCTCGAAGCCTATGTCGTCCAGCATCTTCCTCAAGGCCGCCCGGGAGTCCTTGCATCGCTGGAAGAACGGCACGAACTGATCGGCGTCCTGGAACGAGGTTACACCGGTGAGTAACACGGATTTTTATCGATCATTTGCCAAACGAACGTCGAATAACGCTCGTCAGTCGCGTTACCTCCATGTACGCTTTGTACCGGGGGTTCTCGTGGACCCTGACATAGGCGTCGAAACCGTCGTTCCACGCGAGGAACATAACCAGCGCCTTTCCTCCGGGTCGCAGCAGCTTGTAAACGTTCTCGAAGGCTCTCCTAAATTCGACAGGGTTAAATCGCTATATCTAAAAATTGGGAAAAGAGATAGAGAGAGAGACAAAAGGTGGGGACACGGTATACCGAGAGTTCTGGCACCAGTGGAGACAGTAGAAGGACAGTACGTTGCTATACCGGGCCAATTCTTTGCTAGGCAGGGCCGAGGCCTCGATGTCCAGCTGCAAGAACGACAGGCGTTTCTCGTCGAGGTATTTCTGTCTCGCGTGATCGATCATCGGTCTCGATATGTCCACCCCTGCAAACATTTACTAACGATGACGTTCCTTCCAGCAACCGTCTCCCCGTTCTCTTACCGACTAGCTCAGCTTCCGGCGACAGTTTCGGCAGAATCAGGTTCTTCGTCACGTTCCCAGGGCCACAGCCGACGTCGATGCACTTACCCTTCATCTCGGACATCTCTTTCTTGAACTCCTCGATGACGTCCAGCGCGTCGCGGTACTGCACCATGCTCGCGTTCACGTACTCGTCCACCATGAACATCTCGATCTCTGTTTTCTCGGTAGAGAATGGAGGAAACGCGGTACCAGCGACGGCAAAACGACTGGCGAATCTTCGAAACCCTCGCGAAGATGCGCGCGGATCTGGGCGAAGATGATCGAGGAAAAATAAAAAGTGGACGCGTATCGACGCGATACACTGCCAGATCTTCTACTGGTGACTTTTCGACCCGACTTTGGTATTTATATTCGGTGACTCGTACAAACAACTTTTCTGCTCTCACACGCTTCCCCCATCTTCTCATTTTATTTTTTTCTCTTCCTCTTTTCTTCACCTCGCTGCCCGCCGCCCCCTCTTTTCTCTCCCTACCTACCTCAATATCCGAATTCTTCGTCCGCTTCGCTATCTGGAGTCCGGAGCTCGCGCCATCTTAACCGATGGTCACGTTCGGAAGTTCAGTGACCTCTCTCACCATCGACTCTGGAATGCTTTAGGACCGGGAACACATCCGTCGCGTTTCGACCATCTTTTATCTTCCCACGTATGTATCTATCGTGACTGGAGTACTAATAGATGACACAGGGTCCTATCTGGCCTATCGTGGAAGCCTACTTTTTCACGTTACAAATCGTCCGGATTCGGGTACATTTCTCTCCGCCTCGTTCTCGTGACGTCCAATGACGAAACGAAGCTGGGAGGAGGTCGAAGACGCGAGCTTGGAACATCGAAAGCCTAATAGGCAAGGTCCGGGCTTACTTCGCACGGGGGATGAGGTGGTTCCAAGACGGAAGGGGGAAAGTCGTCGTGGCCGGTTTGTCGGGCAGCAAAGTTCGGTATCATCCGGTTTCTTCAGCGAAGACCGAGGAGTACGAGGAGCTAGGCGAGTTGGAGCCGCGTGCGTTTGACAAGCGGACGGGTTGGCCGCATTCGTAGGTACCTCTGTCCGGCAAATATTTACCCGATCGTCAGGTGGTGGCGGTCGCGTCTTCGAGCCGTTCCTTCGTCGCAGGTAGGTCGTTAAAGACGTCGTTAGGAAATTGAACCGGGTCTATTCGCAGCGCAAACATTGTATTTTTCGCTCGATTAAAAGCCGCCCTCGTTATACCGATGATGGTTCTCCGCGTGTATTCTCGTTCCATCGCGGCACGCCGTATTTATCGCGCGCGTGTCGCCGTTATTTTTATAGTCCGCTTGCCGCGATCCCTTTCTCTCCGCCAAGCGTAATTAATAAATTAAACCGGAGCGATGTTTCTCCCGATCGATCCTACCGATTCGCCGCTTATCTTTCCTTTCCCACGTATTTGCATTCTCGGACGGAACGCTCGGATATTTGCATACGCGTGGACCCCAAACCGGGCTCCCGGGCCATATCGCTGGCAGCTGGCTTCCTTCGGCCGACCAGATCGAACGTATCTCGAACGTAAACCGTTTTCCCTTATCCTTGATCCTCGCGACCCGAGCAACGTCACACTCGCGGAATAGGTTGCAATCGGGCTTCCCCGTTCCAAGTTCGAAGTCAGCGGTACTCTCCTTGGCTCTGCTACTTTGCTAGCTTCTCAACAGATATTCCCGAGATCCAGTGCGGGTTGACCCGTTTCACCTCCGTTCTTCTTCTTCCCCCTTCTTCCTTCAGCTCCCATTCTTTCTCCGACTGGCACACGCGAGTTAATACGATACAACATAGTCGCGACTCTTTCGGCGGAGCCAACAAAGGCTCGTGACGTGCGCGCCTGGCTCCCGAAGTTATGCAACCACCGCGGATCACGGAGCCGAGCGGAATCGTCGTTCCTTCGCGACCTGGCTCGTTGCTATCGTTAGCTAAGAATCCCGATAGCGTAGGCTTGGGGACCGACGGATCGGGGGACAGCGGGACAGAGAGAAAAGGGTGATCGCGGTATTATGGAAGAGGGAACGTGGACGAGGCGGATCGCGGCGAAGGAAGATGGATGCGAAAGCCGCGAGGCAACGATAGATAGAGACCGTCTCTTCTCTCGCGACCTCTCCTCACCTTTTCTTCCGAAGCGTGTTCTATCGGGTCCGCGCTGTTACGCCAGATTCCGGCATTTCCTCGTCCCCCGCGAAAGCCACGGTTTTTCTTTTCCGACCAACGAATGGAACGGCGAAGGCAGAAGGAAAAACCTCGCTCCCTTTTTTCCCTGGGATCCTTCTTCCTCCGCGGTCGTCCCGTCTCTTTGCTCCCGCATCCTCCGCCACGTTCGCGTGTATCGAACGAAGCTGGCGGAGAGAGAACGGAGGGCTTTGATAAATGACCGACGCGGAAAAAAATCAGTGTCGATACGTCTTGCTCGAGGAGATGCGCGCTGCTGGATGTATATATCTAGGGATACTGTCTGATTGCCAAATATGAAGAATATTTTATTATTATTTTATGCTAAATATGTATATTTATTGCGAGTTAAATGAGCTAAATGGGGAGTAAAGTATAAACTAAAAGACTAGATTGATAACTATGATTAAGCAACTGACTGACACTCTCGCGTTAACCCTTTAGTCCGAGTAAACATGGGGCTGAGTCGCTGCCGCAATAGTCATTCTGATCGACACTAGATTTACGGAAACAGTCAATTTGACGGAAAGGTTACTCCAATTATACGATGGTAAGAGATTTAGTTAACTTGTACTAAGACTGTCAACACCTTGCACTCGAGAGGTGACTTTCAGTCACCGTTTCATAAAATTTGGAAGATCGATATTAATTAATATATCAAGTTTAACAGTGTGCGAGGTATCGAAATCAAATGATTCTACAATTCTTTATTTACTGCTCAAAAAAGTATCGTTAGCTTTTTAGTAGAGAATCTTTCGCGCTGCAAAGGGTTAATATAATATACTTTTTAGTAGAGAATCTTTCGCTCTGCAAAGGGTTAATATAATATATAATTGTTTTTAAATTAAACTAATCGTTAAAAAGAAAGGCGCGTGGTTTCCTTTACCCGTCAATTTGACAGGTGTCCTTAGAAATACGTATACAGATCTAGCGTTAAACGCGATTTTCGTTCATAGCTATGCTGGCAATGACATAAAACAGTGTACCCACTTAACTTGGGACGTGCGGTCCTAGGGCCGTATATACGTTCCTGGGCCATAGCAACGCGTTTACGTGGAACACGTTTACGAGCCTTATCAGTTGTTTTCGTCAAACGCATATATGAGTTCCCTGACCAAATTGATGGTTTCCATCGTACCCATATACGCGACGGTAGTCCGTTAAGGGCTAACTCTCGCTAGAAAAGGACTGTCTCAAGACAGCCCTTGCACCCCAGAATCTAGCAGTCTCTCCTCTTTCACACTCAGGCTGCCTTTTTCGATCACTCGTAATCCTTGCACTCGTTCTTTCACACGCACTCCAGATATGTGCACCCTGAGCATTCGATCCGAACCCGAGGCCCCTGCTTATTATCCACCGTCAGCCAGATAGGTCCAAGCGTTCCCTTGTACTCGCTCTCAAACCCTAGCATCCTACGCATATAGAGAGGTAGTGGAGTAACTCGGGAAAAGAACGGATTTGGAGCCAAAGCACGGCTCTATTTCGCGTTCGTGGAGCAACGGTTGAAACGTAGACATTACTCGCGGCATGGAGCGAGAGAAACTTGCGTCTCGCGGGTTTTAAACGGTTCTTCGTGTCGCAGACGATTGTCGGGGGTCGATGGTCCTTTCGCGGATGCGTGCCTTATCGGAAAACACTGAGTGAGATATATGGAGAGATTATACGAGATGGCGTTTCAGAGTCGAACAGGCCGCTATTCTCCGCTCCGTCAATTATGCTAATTTCGATTGCCGCGAGATTAATGGAAGAAGGCGGCGTCCCCTTCTACCATATACTCGCTTCTCCGAGCCCCGACGCCGGGGACCTGACGTTCCTTCCGCATTCGGCCGACCGTGTATAATGTAGCAGACTTGTAATTATCGCGGGTTACACGCTGACCTTTCCTATCCGTGCCGCGAGCCAGCTCCTCGTCTCTGCTAATTTCGCGAACGCGAACCACCGATATAGAATCGTACCCGTGCCACACACACGGACACGATGAACTCTGGTCCGTGGGTGAGCATAGAATAGGCGTAACGTCGGACACCGTTTCCTCAAGTGCGCGTGTGGAGAACCGTGCAACGGGAGAGGAACGAGAAGAAAAGGAGAGACAGAGAGAAGCTGGTTGACGGCATCCGCATCAATAATACATGTCGCTCGATACCCACCGCGCCCCCCTCGCGAATACTCCGCGCTTATATTCGACGCTTAAATTTGCGTGTGACACGGGTAACCTCTCTTCTTCCGCGACTCTGCCATTGTTCGCGGGTCGAGCATTCGCCGGTGGCGCATTGTCCACGACGACCGAGACCTCTCGATTCTTCGTGGACACCTCTCGTTCGAAATTTCACCTCGACCATCCTCGCGATGAATGGACGTCCGCGTCGCGGGGACGAGGGCCGACGACCGAGCTGCCAGAGATGGGATTTTTTCCAGCAGCTGGAAGAACGACCAGCGAACGGCTCGATGTCAAAGTTTCAAGCGGCGAAACGATAAGTGGTGTCTCGGTTAAAAGGGCTAAAAGGGCTAGCATCCCTTGGCCGTGTGCGAAAATATTAACGGACAAACGGCGCGCGTGTTCTATGCACGCCTGCTCTCTCTCTCTCTCTCTCTTTCTCTCTGAGCTTCGGAGGAAAGTATGAAAATCCATACAGTCGCTCGGAGAAAATATCCGTCATTTAAAATGGATGGATTTAGGTGGATATAAAAGTGAGGGGTGGAAGAAACCGGTAGCTGTGCGCGAGGGAGGCCCTCAGAGGGAGGTTGGGTGAGCTCGGAGGCGACTACTGAAAGTCGGCAGCGCCTGCTGGAGGTGTGGAGGTGGAGACGGAGACGATGGCGGTGGCAGCGGCGGTGATGGTAGTGGTTGCCGGTGGTGTTGGAGATTTAAGGGAGACATTTTAAATGGATGGTTCTCTCGCAGAAGCCGGCTCCGGTATTATCCAATACCGTGGCGAGTCTCGCGACTCCGTGTCGCGACTCGAGAATTCGCGAG